CATGATGATGAAAATTTAAAATCTGCTTTTTTTCTTGTAAATTTACAGATATATTTAGCTACGATCTTAGACACAGTAACACGCACCTCAAAGATTCATCAAAATATAACATGAATTAAGTTGAACTTAAAAAAACCACAGAATACAAATTTAGCAAAAGTAGATGAAATACAGGAAATTTTATAATTTATTTTAGAATAACTTTAGTTGGATTATACAGTAACGTAAATGGAACAGTCCTAAATAAAAATGTTTTTATCATCTTATGTAGCTAAATTTCAGTTGTTCATAGCACTTTCAAAATGAAAAGTCTGATTTCAGGATTGATTGCAATAGAATGGAGAAGATAGTGGCTTGAAAAAAAAAAGGAAAACTTCTGAAAGTTCAATTAATACATTTTATAAATATTCTATTGTATAAACATAGTAAAAAGGTTTTTTTTAATTTTTCAATTAAATGCTTCACAGACAGACTATTTTGTCTCTAAAAGTGAAACTAGAATTATTGAAATGTGAATGTATATGTATATTTTCAGCAACTTAATGGTATTCCTATAGCATTCCTATAGAATCGGTAAGCTTACATCATTGATTATTCCTCTGTGAAGCGTTTAATTGAAAAATTTCGAAAAGCTTTTCACTTCGTTAATATAATAATTTTGAATATATGAACATAGTTTATTATTATTTGTATTATTGATACGTGGCAATCTGAACAGGGAATATTGGTGACAATAGCGCCAACCGTACGGTATACCACGTTCTCTTCACGCTTATACCATGCTTAGGGCATGGCAACCTTAATATGCTGAGCTAATTTTCGTAGCAGCTCAGTAAAGACGCCTTTCTGGCGTGACGTAGCTAGATGTGTCTAAAGAACTTATTCAAACACTCAACTGAGAAATATTCTGATTCTATATTCTTATCAATAATTAATTTATCTTAGCTACCATAAGTAGCATAAGTTCAAAGTTCTTTTTTGATTTTGCATTGCTCATTTACATGTGTCAAAATATTTTATTTATATCGGATTGTACAAAAGGCGCAGTTGTATAGGGGGCGCCAAAACGATTTCTGCCCCTGCAGCCAATTTGGAGCCATCACGCCACGTTGAGGTTTGTTCTCTTTTTCTTAGAAAGTAAATCTAAAATCTATCAACACATTAATGAAAACATATTGACAACATATTGACAACCAAACAATATATTTTTCACATTTTTTGCATTTTTCAGCATAAAAAGTTGATAGGGATTTAAATCTGTGACTTGTTTTCTCTGTTTGCGCAGCATACAATGCTGTTTTGGGTTCAAATCTGTAGCTTGATTTATCTGCATGCTGCTTTCTAAAAAATCTCATGAACTTTAGTAGTTAATTGTTAAAAGTATATTTTGTAATAATAAAATCATATTAAAATGTTTGTGTTTAAATATTAGGCAAAATGGGCAAAGCAAAGATTTTATTTAATATGATCTAATTTGCTTAGAACTTAAAGCTTGTGGTCAGTTAAAATGTCACATGATTGTGAAATTCGTAACCATTAATTGAGCTACATAATTGAAAATTAAGCCAATGCTGATTGGATGAAAAAGTGAGTTATATTCTAAGGAAAGTAGAAAAACTCAAGTTCAATTTATGAATAAAGATAGCTTGCCAGGCAAGGTAATATACGCCCACTGGTAGCTTTAATTTTAAATAAAAATATCTGGCAGTACAGTAACAATTACCAGTATGAAATATTCAACCTTCAGTCATACACTTCTTTTGAACTTTTCAGGGTGATACTCAACAATATTACAATGTTTTTTCAAAATCTGACAAGAATTGAGCCTTTAAGTAATTACAAGCTATATATTGAATGCATTTTCAAGATTGAGGTTAATAACTCATAAGAGTTCTAATTTTTGTTGTTATTCAATAGGCTTCATCCATGGGTGACAATATACTATTTCACTAAGTTTTGTCAAAATCCACCAAGAATTATGTCTTCTATAGAGTTAACAAGCAAAAAATTGAACGTGTTTTTAAGAACACAGGCAATAACTCATACTAAATAATATTTTTCGATTTATCTGATATACAATAGGGTTTATCATTGGGTGATTACGAACACTCACACCAAGTTTCGTCAAAATCCATAAATAATTGTGTCTTCTAGACTGTTTACGAGCTGAAAACTAAATGCATTTTCAAAAACAAGGGCAATAACTCATACTTAATATTTTTTCATTTTCCTGATTTTCGATAGGGTTCATCCTTGGTTGATAACAAACACTCACACCAAGTCTCGTCAAAAACCATAAATAATTATGTCTTCTAGACTGTTTACGAGCTGAGAATTAAATGCATTTACAAAAACAAGGGCAATAACTCACAGTAAATATTTTTTGATTCTTCTGATTTTCAATAGGGTTTATCCTTTGGGTGATAGCAAACACTCATAGCAATTTTCGTCAAAATCCATCAAGAATTGTTTTATGAGCAATTGTGGAGGGACGGAAATACGGCCAATGGTGATGCCAATATACGTCCCCGATTTCATGTGGGTGTATAAAAATCAATCTTCCTGATCTGGACCCTGTTTCTCAAAATATAATAGATTAACTTGAGAGAATAAACTTAAAAGATGGGTTCCCTTATTTTCATTTATGAAAATGAAAAAGCTAATATTTATATTTAGAAAGTAGAGGTGTTCTTATTACTTGCAAAATACCAGTTTGTGTCACATGTCCATAATTAATTTATAAATAGTTAAATTAAATGAGAATTACCAGCAGAATTCCAATGAGTGACCGATCAAGAAAGGTCAAAAAAAATTTTTTTGTTTATCCAGACTGTATATACAAGGACATTTATGATTGATTAAAACTCTTAATTATATGCAATAAGAACATAATGATATGATTAAAGGATATATGAAAATATATGATAAGAAACCCAATTAATCAAATATTTTTCTTATTTGGGCACTAAAAAATAAGGAAAACCATCTTCAAAAGAATCAAATTACTAACCGTTTTTCATTAATAATGTATTCAACCATATGTTAGAAAAATAAACTAGAAAAAGTTTGAGTTGATATGCCTTAATATATCAATTAAAATGTGTATAATGAGTAAATATGGTAGTAAAACTTATGAAATATGCATGACATATACAGTAGATTAATTAATATCAGAATAATGAGGTATAATAGAAATGTTCTGACATTTATTAATATTATATATCAATTATATCTGATTTACAACCTAAATTCTCTTATTGATTTTATCATTACCATTTTCACTCTCTCTTATTCTTCAAAAATAATATGAATGGTCATTATGTCCTACTTGTCTACAATTGATTAAAAATGAAATGAAATAAATGGAGTTTTACTTTCAGCATCTTATGGGTTGATGAAGACGGGGAATGCCATGCATTATGCAATGGGGGCAAATTTGCCAAGACATTGGCATTAGCCTACTCTTTTAGATTTCCAACTGTCAAGGGATCTTTAACATGCACAGCCTGTAACACATGTGGCCCCGGTTTATTGTCCCATCCAAACGACTGTAAGCTTTTTCCATGTCAGTCCCTCCGACCTGTATCACTGAAAGGGGAAACTGGGATGAGCCCTGATTGGGAGTCTAATCATTAAAACAGTACAAAATTGTGGCAGAATTACTGCATTCATATACTAAAAAAAAAAATTTCATTATAGCATTGCCAAATTGGAAAGAGAAGAAAGGTAGGTATTTCATTTTGGTGATCCCAATAAGATTAAATATTTCGTGTACTATAGCCAGCTTCAAGCATCCCAATTGGCAAGACAATTCCTTACTTATGGTATAAGATATAAATGTTAAATTAGCATTACCATTCACTTTAATAGACATTTTCTGAATAAATCAAATGAAATTGAAAAGTTTTTCTGTTTAATGCCAGAAAAAAAACTCTTTAAAGGATAGATGCAAAGTTTATGTCATAATCTCAGTACATCACTACATGAGAAAATTAATAACATCCTGGAAATGATGCCAGTTAAAACTTCCAAAGTATATTTTTGTTGGAATTGCAGGAGAATCCGATTTTAATTCTAAAAGATACTGCAATTAGTCCTGATGTCTGAAGATAGTACAGCGTGAACCTTTAAGCATCTACAAATCAGGTTCTGTTTTAATATTTCAAACATATCTGATAATGCAAAACATAAATTATAGATATTTAGAAATAAATTGCTTTCATTCACTGTATGACAATAGCATCTAAGTATTTTCAATAGATCTATATGAATAGATAAACATTTAAATAACCATTTACAAAGTACAGGTAGTATAATACCAGTATTTAGGTCAACTCAATGGCCAGCTGTCCAAATCACAAGAAAACTTAAAAGATAAACTGAATTTCTTTGGATTACAAATATATCTCAATTGAATATTTTTTCACTGTTATCACTTAAATATAACTTACTGGTAAATTTTCTCTACTTTGGTGATTTACTGTAATCCTTTTGTGAATATATATCAAAACCTTTCATTCATGACTCATATTATTTTAGAGAAGGTAACGGGGGTCTCAGTGACACTTAACATAGGCTTTGGAATCTGTTAATTTCAAAACACCAGTGGTGGCATCAGGAAGGATACCCTTTTTTTTTTCAAAAACAAGCTTTGTGCTCTTCTAAAGCCTGCCACAATTTGGATTCAACATAGACAATTGTTCCCCAATTGAATCAGTCTGTGCTCTATTTGTACCTCCAGTCACTGGCAAAAGGGTACAAAACTCAAATTTGTTTCCTTTACTTCCTCTAGAAATTCATACACTTATATTCTGTACCGTTATATAATTGGCAAGTTTGTAGTTAAAGAATGTGGGATTGGACTTTTCTTACTTTCCAAAAAAAAAAACAATGATTTATTCTAGGGTATGTATCTTTTCCCTCAATAGAAAATAGATCAGAAATTCTTACCTTGAAGCTAGACATCCAGCGGATATAGATCCTATCAAAGTTAAAATAAGTTGAACAAAAAACACCCAACTCATACTTTTTAAGTTACTTTGTGTTTGACAACCCAGATCAAAGACTGTGGGTCCTAAAAATCCGACACACACTCCAAAACTACCGAACACCAAGCAATATGTTACGACATAAAACCAATTTTCTTTAAACAGTTTCCAAAAATTCACTTTTTCTTTTTTCGGTGTTTCTGTTGAATTCACTTCATCTATAAATTTCTGTTCAGGTTTTGTGTAATTTGGAGAAGGGTTGTCCCCTGTTCTGTTATCTACATCCATGTTTACGATGTTCTGTTTTCGACTGTCAACTTTCTCTCCTTGTCTACAGAGCTCCAATGGAAGAAATGGAACTAATATTACCGCATACTGCGACAGTAAAAGCCAGTAGCTCTACGATAGAGTAATCATGTATAAAAGCGAAATGAAAGTGGCTTATTGAACGCTATCCACCACACATACATAACAGCTGTGAGACTCTACATTTCGTGCCTTTCTTGTTATTATTGCCATTTAACCATTCAACCTTCTATACAATTATTTCTACACGTAAAAAGTAGTTTGATGAGTTTTTATTTCGCATTAAGAATAATTCAACCATAAGAATAACGCGAGCTGATTAAAGTATAATTCAGTATCATTGCTGAAATAACAGTCACAACGGAATAACCTTCAAGTTTGACCTTGCAGAAAAAAAAATCGACGTGTATTTACCCCTCTGTCAGTAGCATATTTAGGATTGTGAAAGGTATTCTTTTGAAGTGAAAATTAAGCCCTCTTAATGCTCAAAATTTATCTCAGGTCATCTAAATTCCGTTGGCTTCTCGGGGCCTCAAGTCTCTTGACCTCAAGGGGTTTCCACACTTTGCAGAGGCACCTCTTATTTTCGGTCATCCCCTCAGGTATTTTCTAGATACACCCCCGCCCCTTGCCCCTGTCATAATGTCATTGTCAGTCGCATTTGGAATTCGACCCCGACAGTTGAGTCAGTCAAACTCCTTTTTTAATCCCAAATCTGAATATGACCTTGAAAGTACGATGGTTTCGCGCCAAATTTCTCTGCCACCGAAAGACAGACGTGTCGGAGGTTCTAGAATCGTTTCTTTAGTTCTCAGTAAGATGTGAAACCACAATTCATTTAAGTTAAAAAGTAATAAATATTGATTAAAATCATTGTGGTCTGTACTGGTTTGTACATAATTACTGAATCGCATAATCTTATTATCTCCACTTGATATTGATCTGGTCTCTTATCTTGATCACTTTTTCTTTCTCTTTTGACTTGGTTGTATTAATCATGTCAGTTCTCTGTTCAGTTAGCATTATTTATCCGGAAAATAATAGTTTTCTTGTAAATACTAAGGTCAAGCATTAGGTCATGTTATTTCATGGAATGATCCCCACAGCACCAAATATGCATGCTCCACAATGTCAAGCAATGTCAATTTGTAAATTGATGTTATCAGTGTCCTCCATGCACATAAGGAATTTAGGAAACCTCTTTTCAACCCCTTCAAGACGAAATAGCTTGACATTGTAAAGATAGCAATATGAATTCTTCATGTTGTAAGTAGGCTAGCGAGTGGCGTTTCTATGAATTATTAGATTGAGAACCAGGTTAACAGCATCATGCATTTAGGAACTCAATATCAGTCACCAGTAATTTGAGTTTTAGGGCCAAAGCTGGGCCAGCCTAAGATCTTAGGGCTCATGGCCCCATGAAAAATATCTGTTAATAGCTGGGGGGAGCAGGCTGGTATGCCTGAAAGATTTTGAAGGGTTCAGATGTGAGCCTATGGACAAACATGACCGGAAGACTTTCAGATAGTGATCTGGTAAAATGAATTTCACTTAACTGGCGATTCAGATTAATTAATCTTAACATATGTTTCCAATTCATTTCAATTTAATATCATCAGAATTTCCTTAAAAAGAAATATATTTTAATAATGAAATATATAACATAATATGTTATTATACTTAACATTTGGTTCATGCTCTGATTAGGCTAATATTAATTATTAAAATAATTTGTCGGCTGGCCATATTACAGCAGTCACCTTACTTGTTGAAGAAATATGGCCGCTACACACCCACTATTTGGGCAGATAAAACACACCCATCTATCAGTTTGGTGTCAAGATACATAAGTTTAAATTATCACATCAGCAGTTATAATTTACAAGCAATGGAATAAGCCAATGGAACATCAATTGAAATCTGTGTTTGTTGTAAGGAAATACAACACTCAACACTTTAGGTCTTGAACACTTTGGCATACAGTCAACATTCATTATCAAAATAAAAACAGATTAACAATTCTCTCACTTTAACAATTCACATATTAATCGTGAAGCATAGCAAATATAGTTATTCAAATAACAATTCAATTTAATCTTAATCAAAAAACAAAGAAGATAAAAAGTAAGTTTATAATCTCTAAATGATACAATACAATTATTAAAAATTGTAAAATACGTATCAAATTACACAATTATTATATTTATTACAACAGTGACCTAGTCCTTACAACAAAATAATAATATGCTTATCCACTGGGAACAAAAAATGTGCAGTCTTTAACAATGTCTTTTTTTTATTTTAACTAAACCAGGAATTTCAGTGTCATATATTTTCAGACTTGAACAACAGGTCAGGATTATAATAACACCAGTATCATACCCTAATAAGGGGTGTGCACTGTATTCACAATTACATGGTAATTAAATCATGGTTTCATCAGTGGTGATAAATTTCCTTTGAAATTAATAAGTGGTTGTGAATAAGTGAAAATCATTTTAAAAATACAAATATTCAACAAATATGTACAATATTAAAGGTATATGGTTATCTAATTATCACCTGCACCAATCGTTATTGTTTATAATAAGAAATTTCTCTCACATGCCGAATTGAATCTTGATCATTGAGATCACATACAAAATGAGAATCACATAAGCATTAAGCATTATGCATAAACCATAAAAATAGTCTGTATGAGGTGGTGAATTTTGACCAATTAAAATGTACTATATGTGTACATATTTACAAAACAAAATGGCAATGTGCAAGATTGTTGATTGGCAGGTTACAAGACATAATGAATATGTATTACCTTAGTCACACAAGCAAGGTTTACCTGCTACAGTGAAAAATGGTAAAATATGTAAGTTTTGCAAAGTTGAAGAGACAATTGACTATCTGATAATAAAGCTACATCCCTTTAAGAATATATAAAAAGATAAATAAGACAAGCACCAGAAGAATCCCACTAACATGGACTAAAACATTTCTTTAACATAACACTTCTCTTTAACATACAATACACAAATAACAAGTTTTTTTGAATAAAAGTCTAAATAAAAAAATATTGTTGATAGAAACAATCACAACAAAAAACGCATTAATGAAATACCACCTGGCTTAGGTAATTATCAAATTAGAGAGGGACTCTGTCGTATAGTTATGACACCAGATGAAGTCCACTGATGAATATTTACCCTTACTGACCAAGTTTGTTACATAATACTCTAAATTCATTCTAAGAGGTAGTATTTCTTTAACAAACATATGAAGTTTTGACATTCAACTGACTGATTGTATTACAGTACATAATGTTTAATGCCATCTCTTGTAGCCTACCGTTTAAGATCGCTCGTCAGTTGGAAAGCGAAAAGAGCAGGCTAATGCAGCTGTCCTGACAAAATTTCCCTTATTGCACCCCGCATGGCATTGCCCGTCTTGATTAGCCCATATGGTGCAGAAAAGTAGGATATAAAACTCCATTCATTTCATTTCAATTTTGTACTATTACAGTGCATCAATTTGAGATTAAATAAGTCAGCCTAAGCACAACACTGAAATTGGCTTACAATTTAAATTAAATAAATAAATAGATTTTCCTACTGTATATATTTCTAACATGAATATTTTATATATTTCATTTGAACTTACAAGCAGGAGCTTTAAATAGCCTACAACACAAGTCTCATTCCAAACCCTTAATTTATGCATTCATCTATGAAAATTTGATACAATATTGTATAATCAAGAAATATAGTAAAATGCATAGATCATATGAATTATATAAGGTATGTACAAAATAAGGCTATTTGAATGGGTTTTTGTTTTGTATTAGCATAACGATAGTCAGTTAAGAAAGAACTTGTTAGAATTTCAAGATCAGCTGATTCCTAGATTGAATAAAACCCTAAGTAACCAGTGTTAGTATATTGTTATAATATTGAAACTACTTGCTCCAATAAAGCTTATTATTGTCAATTACTGGACTAAACTTTTTACATCCAATGGAATATTGAGATCAGTTAATTTCAATCAACACTAGGTTAAAAGTAAAGGTACTCTAACAAAAGCATTTTCAAAGACTAGTCAAAATTAATTATGAGACATATTTTATAAGTTACAGAAAATTTGAAGCTTTGATAAACCAATAATATACAATGCAATTTATGTCAGCTGCACATTGGTCCCTTTTTTGGTTTCCTTTTCAATCTGAAAGAAAGTAATAAGATTGTGAAGTATATTATGTATGGCTTCCTGTTTCTTATACTCAAGGTTTAAGACATAATAAAATTTGAAAACATGTTAAAGGGATTGTAAAAAGGTTTTCAGTTAACTACACCACCCTACTTAAATCCTGGGGTCTATAGTTGGGTCTAGGAGTGTCAGAGAAAGTAAGGAAGAAGTCACCTCAATCATTCCAGTTAACTACACCATTCTGGGCATAGGAGACCCCTGCAGCATTGTGCCAGTCAATGAGAGAGAACAATAAGATTGTCCAAATAACAGCAAGAGAGATGACAAAATATACTTACACATAATTCTATAATATATTAACTGTTATATTCTAATGTTACTGCTTTAGTTTTCAGATATTCATTTAATGCTTCTTGACCTGTACAATTAATAAATGAAAATATATGATATACATCTCCCATTTCATATTCTCCCATTTTATAACTCTGTCATTGGATCAAATGATATGAAAGCAAGAAAAAAGTGGCATAATTAAACAATGACTGTATTCTCAGAATCAGTATTTCATTACTTTTGAGGCATGAAATCCACTAAAATAGAATGTTTAGAAGTTTTATTCATAGTCTTTATCTGCAATGCACTGTTTGTCTCAATTTTCACGACTTTCTATTCGGCATCAGAGTCCCCCAGTTGGTCAGCACCCTTGAAGTTGGCTTTGATCTTTTACAACAATACTTACCCAAATCTTTCCCGAACCCAGATTGTTTAAATCCACCAAATGGTGCAGCAACGTCTGTTTTATTGTATGTATTTACAAATACAGTACCAGCTTGTAGACTATCAGCTACATGCATAGCTTTATTAATATCTTTAGTAAAAACACCAGAGGCCAACCCAAATTCTGTATTATTAGCTCTTTTTAACATTCCTTCTATATCTCTATATGAAAAAAAAAGAATTTCATCATGGCTTTCAAAAACCTGATTGTCTTGTTACGTATGAAGGTGTAAATGAATTGGGTTTTCATGGCATACCTATTGCATTATGGACTACCAAAATGTCGATGGCCTATTTGAAGCACCCATTTCTGCATACCTCTCATAAATAGTTGATGAGTTTTTTGAATCAAACGTAGCTTTGGAAGTAAAATGTGTAAATTTCAGTCCAGAAACTAGTCTCTAATCTTGGTTCAATCCCTCGGAAAATGAAGACCCCTTAGCTCCTTAAACATTTTAATGATATATTACACCTACCCATCAATAAATTTAGATATTATCATAATAGGACCAAAAGATTCTTCAATAGCAATCATCATGTGATCTTCTACATCAGTAAATACAGTTGGTTCTAAAAATAACCCTGAAATATATAAGATGATCCCATCATGTTCAGTTATCTATATTCCACTGTCCTGTTGAATCTTACCATTGTTTCAGAAACAGGATTTTTTTTTAGCTAAGCCAATCAGCAATAATTTGAGCCTTCAAATCCATGTGTGTCCAAAATTATCCGCAATCGAATGTTACAAAGATGAGTTGTCTTTTCTTGAAACACTGCCATAATATATAGAAAAGACATCCATAGAAATTGGAAAGTGAAATTCCTAGTTTGAGATATTTTTGAAGGAATTTTCATACATTTCTAGTACTTCTGAAGACATATATTCAAGACTCGAATCAACTCCCAAAAATGGTGCACCTGTCCAATTACTGTCCAAGATCATTTCATGAAGCCACTTGATTGGGAAGTTCTGCACGTTAGGGATTCATGGAATCAACTGGACATTCAATAAAACAAGTTGGAACAGACTTCAGAAAGCATTCCATACATTCCAAAGGTATAGCAGGTGCAGACAGAATTCAACCCATCCAGAACTCTTTAATTGAGTGTTTCCCTTAAGAACTGGAATAAGAATTGTAACATAGGACAACCTCATAGAAAAATCAACCTTACCTGGTCTGTCTGCTGGTTTACCACCAGTGACTAGAGTAGCACCTTCTTTCACACCAATATCACAGTATTCTAATAATTTTTCAAAATGTGCCCTATGATTCTGTGGACCATGATCTGTTGATCTATCTAATGGGTCCCCAATTTTCATCTTCTTTATTTCTTCTAACTATTTAAGCATAGTACAATCATAGAGAGTCTTATAATAAGAGTGTGCTGAGAGATACCTCCTCAGCATGTATTAACACAATTGATACACTAGAACATTAGACATGTACCACTGACACAGTATAGTAACCTAAGAAATGAGTATAACCTATGAACATGATAGCATTTGAGTTCAATTTCTTCTTTCAGTTCCCTTTTTCAAGAAGTTTTTACTAAAGTGAGTTTCAAAACATGTGGAATTTGTGTTCAGTATGCCAAGTAACAGCATATGTGGCACAAGTCATTAATAAGCTGGGTCGCAAACAGTCTACATAAAATTAGACCCAACTTTTATTTAGTTTTCTTATTAGTTTTTATATTTTATACAGTCACTTGAACATTCGTCAAATTAACTTTTTGACCTAACCTGCTTTAACCAATCAAATTTACACCTTCTCCAGTGTTGGAGTTTTGCAAGAGATTGAAGGAATTTGATTGGTTAAAGTAGAGGGGGGTGGTGGGTTTGGGCAATTGTAGTGGTTGTGCTAAGAGAAGCATTAGATATGTTTGGTACACTCCTATTTAACGGTAATAGTACAGAGTAAGTTTTCTGTATATGTTTGGTACAGGAGTCAAATAAAGAATGATAATATTTACCACTCTTGCTAAGAATTCATCATGTATAGATTCTTCTACAAACAATCTACCAGCAGCTATACAGTTCTCTCCTTTATTGAAAAACACAGAACTACATCCCTGGTAAGATAAAAAAAAAAAAAGAATTAATTAGTATACTGTGAGAAATCAATTGCAAAATTGCATATACTTCTTGGGCATCATTTTACCCCTCATCGAGTTTGTTAGTTAAGCAGATTCCAGACAATCAGTGGATAAAAACTTATATTCATTTAATAATTTATTTAAAACCCCAAAAAATGGTTGTTGCAATATATTTGAATTTCATTGAGCACATTATATGAATTTAGATAATTGATTTCAAAGACATTGGGTACTCACCATTCGAACAGCTTTTTCTAAATCACAATCACTAAATATAACTAGAGGTGATTTACCTCCTAATTCTAGAGAGACTTTCTTTAAATTACTTCTAGCACAACTACAATAGAAAGATAATAATAGTAAAAATATAGGATTTATTAGACTTTCAGGGACGCTTTTACAATACATAAAACAAAAATTAGGAAAAAATATGACATCCAAACTTACTGATGCTTTTAATGAGGAAAAATGGCTTCTTCATGGTCACTAGAGTTTCACATGCCAACCTAGATTAGAACCCAAAACCATCATCTAAATGAAATCATGTATAGTTTCAAATGCTCAAACTGAGTCTTTCTGGTATTGACATGAGAAGGTCATAAAAATATGGTTTATGAGCTTTCTTACTTTACATAGAAAAAAATTAAACCTATACATGAATTCTTTACTCTAATCTAACATACCTCTCCATGATAGTTTTACCAATAGGTGTAGAACCAGTAAAACCTAATTTCCTTACATCAGGATGATCAGATAGAGCTTGTCCTATCACAGAACCTACAAAGAAATTCCTTTGGTATTTCTAAAGCAAGCAATCTTCTCTCGTGGAATTGTGTGATACCCTACCCTACAGCTCAGTCGGTAGCAGGTTGGATTGTCGTCTGCCGTGTGATTAGCTGCAAACACGTTTGAATTCTCTTCATGGTAAGAAAATTATAAATGGCATGGCCAATGCTTTTGAAAGTCAATTCTTTTCACCTCAATTATTGTTATTAGCAATGTTGAGAAGAAAGTAACATCAGGCTATGAAATTATAGAGATATTCATCCTTCATATCCATTTAATAAGTTTAATGCATGAAAAAAAATGTCTGATAATATTTTAAAGACTTCAACTATAACTTATTAATTGAAATCATGTCATGGTGGATATCATCATTCTTTATTTTACTCCTGTACCAAACATATACAGATAACTTATTCTGTACTGTCCCCGTTAAATAGGAGTGTACCAAACATATCAAATGCTTCTCTTAGCACAACCACTACAATTGCCCAAACTCACCAGACCCTTCCTCGAAAAAAATAACTTGTACCCCAAATCTAAGTTCATGGTCTTACTGTAGAGTGGACATAGTCTTCCCTAATGTTTATATTGAGCACATATTGAGACTGACCTGAACCTGGTAATATATTAATAACACCTGGTGGGAATCCAGCTTTAACTGATAATTCAGCAAACTTTAAGGCTGTTAATGGTGTGACCTTAAAAAAGAACAATGGGTCTTACTCCATATATATATATAAGATTAGCTCAAAAAATGCCCAGATTCAAATTTTGCTCAAGGCAAGAAAAACAATTCTGATACTATAAAATATGACTTAAGGAATCATCAACTGCCAAAATTGTCTCTATGAGTAAATAAAAAGTTGAATCCTGTTTAAGATGACCAATCTTACTAAAAATATAGCAGACACACATCAGCCTTATTATACTTTCAATTCTTGAGAAAAAATATTAAAACCTTGTACCAACCTGAGCTGGTTTTAAGACAACTACATTGCCAGCTGCAAGACATGCAGCCATTTTCCATGCTAACATCATGAGAGGATAGTTCCAGGGAACAACAATACCACAAACACCAATAGGTTCTCGTTTTGTGTAGGTTAAATTTTTATTGGGTCTAGCATGGTTCACTGGTATAGTTAAACCCTGAAACAACAAATATTTAAACATATATAATGGAAAGCAGAATTTCACAAATATATCTATCCAGCAGTTCTTTCTTGATTTGTGACTCATTGGAATTCTGCCGGTAATTCTTTTCTTATTTAGCTAATTATGAATTAATTATGACATGTGAGACAAACTGGTATTTTTCCAATTCATTAGAACACCTCTACTTTCTATTCATATAAGAATTAGCATTTTCATTTTGATAAAATAAATGAGTCCATCTGTAAGAGTATTTATAATATCCACTCCTTGAAAGACTTACCTGTATTTTGTCACACCAGCCAGCAAAGTATCTAAACGTCTGTATAGACATACCAACATGTGTTTTTAAAGCTAATGTATAAACAGCACCAGAATCTAGTGTTTCTATAGTAGCTAGTTCTTCTTGATGTTCCTCCATTAAATCAGCTAGTCTAAAATCATATATTTTGAATAAAGATTTCTTCACTATCAACTATTGATAAACTACACTAACATACTAAAACTTATATAGGAACTGAATCCTGTTACATATTTTCTTAATAAGACCTAGTTTTCAGAGAAAGACTGCAAGATCTTGCCTGGTGTTTAACATTTGAACATTAAACATGAGTTCTGGAGCCATTAGAGTGTTGAATAAGTCATCTTCACTCATAACAGCAGTTAACTCAGCTGTAAATGGATACACATAATCAAAGATGTTTGGCCAAGGACCAGCTATGAACCTATAATTATCATCAGTGTAAAATATATTTTATCTTTTCCTCTCTCAGATCACTATTTTTAGTTGAATTTCATTCAATATTTCAATTATGTTACCTGTACATGAGAGCTCCTCTATCTCTAGCATTCATAGTACCCCATGGTCCCTCTTCAAAAGCTTCCTGTAATAGTAATACAAGTTTCATACAATATATATCAATATAACACATATTCCTATAATAACAGTGTTTGTGTTTTAGCTGATTAAAGCCATATCTGCAAAAAAAAATTTTATTTCATGGTTTGAATAAATTCCATTGCCACCAAATGAATATTGGTTAACCATTTCCCAAAAACGTTCATTGGCACCATAAGATTGCCTCAATTGCACCCTGCAACTTGGACAAATATTCCTGATGAGAAAAAAATATCTAACCTTAGCTGACTCAACTGCTCTGTTAATATCTACTTTAGTAGCTTTAGCTACTTTACATATAACCTACAAAATATTATATACCTTTAGAAACATACAAAATCATGATATGTCCTACTCTTCTATACCTGATTGGACTAATGAAGATTGGCAACATGATGCACTGTGCAATGACCAAATTTTGTTAAGACAGCACCACTAGCCTACTCTTTTACTATTCTAAATTGTTTTGTCTTAACATGCACAGCCCGAAGTCATCGTAACCTGTATTAAAATAAGATTGGTGCTATATTAAAGCTGACCAATCAGATCGCGTGCAGTTGAAGAAATGACGGTCATGTAAACAAAACACAGTGGGGTTTCATTTTCTGTGAGCTTGAATTCTTGACTGAAAATCTTACTAAATTCTGTATCATACATATTAATCAAAACATTTAATCACATTCAATCAGTGGTTAATTTGATAGGCTGATATTTCCTAGAAATATTGCAGGCTTAATTTTGAAAGGCCAATATTTAGCTATTAATATAATTTCTCTCACTTGTATTACCAAGGTCTCGAGGAAGTACGGTGAATGGGGGCAAGGTTTGGACAGGAAGCATGCTTGTTCATGTCAGCACCTTCAACCTGTCTTATTGACAGGAGAAACAAGGTTGAAAGACATAACTCGACTTATGCCAGGATTGAACCCTGGACTTTCAGGTTAGACCATTCAAATAGCTTGGTTACATTCACTTCATACTGGCGCACATATAAAATACTTACTGATTCATCTGTAGGATTAATAGTATCATAGGTTTGTCCATTTGATGCATCAACAAATTCATTTTCAATAAAAGCTTGATTAGGAAAACTAATATCCATGTTATTAGCTCTTAATTTGACCTAGAAATAACACCAAATTCTGTTCATTTCAATTCTGCTAGATATAATAATCCCCTCAGAATAATAAAGTTACAAAAATAACTTTTTTTTGCCAAAATCTTAAATGATATAACTAGGACATCTGCCATCTTGCCTTCCTTAAATAATCCATGATAAGCATTGAGCAAATGATTGTATACGGAGATTTGGAATCTATTTGGAATAATACTTACTGGTTCAAAGACTAGTTCCTCTTTATCTTCTATACCTCTACCTCTTCTAATAACACAATTAGAGAAATCTTCAAATACTGTATTCATATAAACATCTTCAGCAGCTAATCTTATATCATTACATTTCTCTTTTACTTCTTCTATTAATCTGTAATATACAATGCCCAATATAGAAAAAAAATACTTAATACATGACCTTTGACTTGTTCTTGAATTCTGACAGGCATATTTTTTTACTGAAAGATCAGTATTTGTCAACAGTTAGTGAGCATGGATATATAAATTCACCAAAATTGATAATTTTACATTATTACAATATGCTTGCTCTGCTCCATTAATGAAGAACCTGAACTATCATAATAAAAAAGATGGATACATTCAAATTATAATACACTGTTTATTACCTGATAACATCCATGGAACCAGCACCACATTTAAAAAAATCTGTAGTAGCATCAGGATTAACATTTATAATACCATTCCATATTGACTGGGATGTAAAAATAACACAATAATCACAAAACAATCAATAATTGTTTGTAGACAGTCTTCTGAACATATTGCAGGCTCATAAAAACTAAAAACAGTGCTAGCCCACAAAAATCATTGGCATCAATAAGAATCCACTTTCTTTCAGCAATTTCTTAGGGCATAAATGAATGGACCATTCAATTCAATGGGCATGCAATTCAAAAATTTAATAGATTAAACACGAATAAACATTAATGTGACCATCAGATATTTTAAATTAATAGATACCTGTTACCTCCATTCTGTAGAACAAGGATGAGCAGAAAACTCACCTGAAGATTTTTGATCAATTGCTCTTCTTCAGCTGTTAGTTCCAGTTTCTGTGTGGAAGGATCATCTTTACCAAATTTAGAGGCTGGAATCATTTTACCATTTTCAAATTGTAGCTGACTGACATTAACCTAAATAAAATACACTACAATGTATAACATCAATGCAGATCTCTATGAAAAAATAAAACCCTAAAATGTAAGCTGTCAAAATTTCAAAATGTCAAAATATTGGCTTATGTCAAGCTTAAAATTAATGAGTTCTCTCAAGCCAGTTTTTCTTATGTGAGAGGTAATTCTTTAGGTACAAATGAAAAGAAAATTTTCTTACCATTTTTCCATCATTACCAAATAAGACTAGACCTTTCTTGTGAACAATAGCTTTCTGTGGTGCACCTTCTATATCTATTTCAGTACCTCTAGGTTTCATCCTGGTCCATAATTTAGAACCAAATAATGATATTTTCTGAAAAAGAGAAATGTTATAAATAGATGTCTAGGAATTTGCACCGAAAATGAACCCCTTTATTCAAGTGAAAATAGCAAGAGCGCTACTAGTGACATGTATGTGATTTAATTCCGAGCAACCATTGAAGCAGTCATTACCAAGAGATAACACGTTACGTTTTCAACCCCAAAACTTACCTTGATGTGATAACACAAACGGACAAACACTTTGAAGACTAGAGGAACAATTGCTAGCCAACCAATTATCAATTATAATAATGAGTATTTACCTCTCCATTAATAACAGTCCAAGAACCAGGTACTTTATCATTACCACGTATAAAATTATGAATATCTTCTGCCGTTTGGTCCATTTTGATCTAAATACATAATTTACATAATTCAGAATGAAAAAAACTTAAATACTACATGAAATTTACCACTTTTGATTCAGGTGTATATTATTTTTATTATTTTATTTTATCATCATACATTGTTATTCCTCTAAGGTCGTGGATTCTTTTTATGAAAAGATAGAAATAAATAAATAATACCTGAACTTTATCTTTCTTTATTAAAGCATCATAAGTTGCATTGTCTTCAGACTGTACAATTCTAGGTGCTTTACCATCAGCTATTAACTGTACAGCTTCTCCCTGTAATTCAAACACATAGTCTTATTCTATTTTATATTTACATATATCAATCTTCAAACAAACTGAAGAATCTGCCAGAACAAGTAAATACAATTCTCATTATGAGCTCAATATCAAAGAGACTGTACCTAGGTTTTCTAATCTATTTAAGCATCAATTTGCATCATTGCAATTCTCAGCAATACTTCTGTGGTTCTTGGAGATTCACTTATTAAAATAAGCATTTTTACACCGTAGCTATTGTAAAGGCCCTTAGATATTACTAGCAGCTTTTGCAATAGGAATGTCATATAGGGTTGAGCAGTCCTATCTATACAGAAAACATAGACTTCAGCTAGAAAAATAATATAATGATGCAAACAGAAACCAAAAAGGGCATGATACACATAAAGACTCAGAAAACCTCTTTACAACCTCCTAAAATAGAAAAGAAAAGGTGGGAAATTGTTCTGATACAGTATAATGTAATTAAGACTTACCATGGCTTTAACACCTTCAGGAAAAAGAAATCTATTATATATACTTTCAATAGTATCATTAGGATCTACGTAGGTTTGTTTCTGTAATAAGATTGGACCTGTATCTAATCCATCATCAGCCCAAAATACACTGAATCCAGCTCGCTTATCTCCCTTCATTAAAGTCCTGAAGAATAAAAGAGCAGAGAAATTGACAGAAATTGAAAATGAAAATTAATGATGTTTGCCTGATCGGACATATGAGTACAGGTAATGCCATACAATGTGTAATGAGAAGGTTTTTGCAAAGAAAACCATATTAATTTTCAACTGTCAATGGATCTTTAATATCCACAACGTGTAGATTACAAGACCTCAATTTTCCGTCTCGCCCAACAACTACCAGTATATGCTTTTTCCCAGAAAACCAAAACTTGATTCTTATTATAATGTCATTAACAATCAAGTGTACAGTGTAGCGGTTCCAATAGTATTTCCTTAAAAATTGCAGCTTTCAGCAGAATGATTCACAAAACATACCAGTTGATAGCAGACGCTCCTCTGTGAAGTGGTAATAATGAAGGATGATATATTATAGACTGATTACTAGGATGGTTGATCACTTCCATTGGTATAAATTGAGAACAAAATGGTAAGACATTTAATTCAGCACCAACAGATTTATATTCTTCAACAACTTCTGGTAAAGCTACTTTCTTTAACTGCCATCTTTTATATTTGAATACTTTTATTCCATCTTTCTCAGCAGCAGTCGCTGTAAGAGACACAGGTATAAGCTATAACACTTTTTACTGGTTGAAATGGGATCATATCAGAGCATCTGTATTTATTTATGAAATTATGAAATACATAAGACCCCGGTTTCCAACCTGGGGTGTTTTCACCCCTTTGGGGTGTGGGACTAGGGCATCAGGGGTGTGGCCAACTGGTGTAGGAGAAGAGTTTATTTTGAATTAAGAGAACACCTCACATCATCATGCTGGAAATGTGGATGTAACAGATTTTTGGGGTGTGAAAGGTCCAGGTCCAGGTCCAGGTCCAGGGGTGTGAAGGCTGAAAAAGGTTGGGAACCACTGCAATAAGGAGTGCAGTTATTTGACTCGACTTGATAATTATACTAGAGATGATAGAGAAATAAATACTTTCACAAACTTCAAGAAAAATATCATATTTAATCTTAAAATGTTGGCAGACAAAATATTCCAGGGGGGATTTATGCCAATCTTCTATTTTCCCACAGCTATTTATAGCTAGTTTGTCTTTTGGTCAAATATATCATAACAACACATGATAGCAGACCTGAAATGTCATGAACAAGTTAGAGTTACAGTAACATCACATTTTTAGTTATCTGTCAGCCTTTTATTTGTTTTAAAGTAAATATTCTACATACCTAAAGGATCTGCCTTGCCATTTACATCAGGAACTGTAAACACACCCACTATTTCATGTCCATTTCTCTGTAATAATTTATACACTTCTGCTCCAAATAAACTCTGACCAATCACAGCTATTTTCATTTTGTTCAGCAGCACAGACTGAAATTAGTTTGTTAACTTTTTAAGAAGCAAACTTCAACACAAACACAATTCTATCTTGTAACAGATTGTCTAAAAAGCTTCTGAACCAATGAAAATGATAGTTTTTTCAGAAGATGTTGTATTCTTTACAGTTGAATCAAACTGCTGGATGTGATTTGGGCAACAGTATTCACTGAATCAATTGAACAGTTTGTTCCAAATGACTTCACATTTTAATTTGATTATAATAATTTAATCAATATCAATCTTGTTTTGGGATCACAAAGAAGACTACAACTATAGTGTTGAGAACAAATGCAAATTCATTTACATAAACCACAGTGGTTTAACTACCAGAGGGGCCAAGTCCTCACCCCTAGAAAAAAATTCACGAGAGCATACAAATTAAAAATACTTCCCAGGGAGGTGCCCCTAGTTGAGCCAGTGTAAAACAGCAACCTCAAATCTTTATTACTGCAGTAGATAGATTTTAGACCTACTGATGATTACAGTCAGTGAATTCAAATATAATTATACAATAACTAATAATCACCTCTTTCACAGAGTAAAAGTACTTTCAAGATAAATTTTTATTTCTCTTCTCTAAGAAAACTCAAGATAAGCCCTACTAACATAAAAAGAATACAAATATGTAATAGACAATACCTTTAAGCAGCTGAAACAAGTGAATAAAAAAACTTATTATCAACTATTTTTGATGGCTTTTGTTATCTTAATAAAGTGCAGTGTGAGAGCACTACATACTCCACTACGTAAATCCTTACTTACAACCAGTTCATTCAAGAATAAACAGTCTTAGTCTAGCTATGTTCAAGTACACTAGATAAAGAATTAAGCCGTGTTTAGACAACCACAAGTTATATGGGACGAGCCCAGACCAGGTACAGTTTGGCAGAAAAAGTGGCAGTGTAAACAGGATGAGAGGGCTCAGCATCGTGCTAGTTTCAAGTAGACTGAGTCTCGCAAGAAGAGGTCTCGGTTCAGATCAAGTACAGCCCACTTACCCAAGGAGAAGTGTACACGCGCAATAATGACCTTGACCCTATGGCACGAAATGTCATAATAGAATACATTGTGTTTGCAATGGTTTGAGCTCCAGATATTCATGAGAATATAAATCTTATTTCTTTGTGTCTCAAAAACAAAATTGGAGATTTTTAAGAATCGGTTGCGCTTTGAATGTAACAAAATTAATCACGACTTCAAAATCATTGCATTGTTTAACGTTGACTGAAGAGCAGCTGTGTACCCATGACTCACCAGTGGCCCAGTGAAATTGGTATAGGCCAGTAGGGCCAAGTACAGTTCATGGCAGTGTAGACACAGCTTATGTTTCACATTTTTGGAAAGAAGTTATAAAATTTTAAAAACTTAAATATAAATGTAGAAAGTAGCATATTTTTCAAGAGAAAATTGATAATATGCTGTTACACACTTGAGAATATACTCTACATTTTTACTTTTTCTCGATTAGCCACAAAGCTGATAATGATGTTATCTAACTGTACATCTCTCCAAGTTGGCATGTCCTTCAAACTTGGATACAACATACATTATATTGAGATCTTGAAATAAATTCACTTGTTACAAAAGAGAAAATTTACACTGACAAAGAATGTTTTAACTTGGTGGGAATCTAACTTTAAGGAAAATCCTTGATTGAATTTTCAGAAAAAGATAACATGTCGACAACTGGGTTTGTCTTTTATCAATTAATCCAACACTACTGATATGATACATCAAAATTCATATCAGATAAAACTATCATATATATAAGCCTACTTTTAAAGAAACAGGTGCGGAATTTTGGGGAGTTCATTTTAGCCTTGAATATATGTAAATAGTCTTCGGAACATGACCATAGTTAAAGGCCAGAGAGGGGCAAGGCCCCCCCCTACTAAAGATCGCTCTAAGTTAGCTTTGCTTTACAATACTCAGTGGAAATACGGTTAAACTTGATTATAACTATCATGCACTAACAAAGGACTAGAAAATATAACTGCATTCTGCTTAATAGATTTAAGAACACTAAAGTGAGAATTATTGCCAAGTTCTTACATATATTATATATACAACCACAAAAATAACTTTGATATTTTAAATGTTTTTAGCTTTAAACCTAGAAACTACTAGAAGTAGGGTAATGCTTAGAACACCAGAAACAAAATATTGATTCTTATGTAATGACACCATGCCTTGACATTTTTTTCTAAACTGTCCTTGATTTTTTTCACAAAACTTTTCACTTGAAATCATAAATTTATTTCAAAAAAAGCATTTAAGCAGATTGAATTATAAACTTCAATATTTGCAAGTCATATGCAACATATTATTCATATCAATATTTGAAACCATCAATGATAACAAATGCAAAAATTAGCAAACAAAAAAGAAATTTTATACCTTAACAATTCACTAACAAGATTATACATGTACTATTGAGAGCGTGGTGCATCTAGAGAAGTTTAATCCCTAACTTGTAGTGATGCAAGTTTGGCACAACTTTGTTTCAACATATTTCAAGGGGGAATAGCATGTTAATTTTATTTATAACTGATCTTATTTCAAACGCAAACAAATAACTCAAGAGATAAATCCATTTTTCTCAACTTACCTGGGAATCTGACCACAATTGAGCAACTTTTCAAGAAAATTTGGAGGATTGTCTTGTAAACTTCAGGCCTTCCCAACCCTGGATATTAAATTAAGTAAATCTGTAAAAAGTGTTCTACATGTTGACCAATCACAAGGGAGACACAACTGGGGTCACTTTAACCTACATAATTACATTATCAGAATCATAATACTAACCTATACTTTCAATAATCAGTCAGCAAAACTTAGGGGTCAAGTTGAGATCAAGGATTAAACTGGCCAATAATTTATTCACAATATGGACATTCAGAAAACTATTGTCTGAACAAAGCAAAAAGTTTTTTGAAGTTTTTCTTATACCTTGTAAGAGAAAAGGAATGTCAACCTCAAAATAGTACAGTCTAAGAATGCCTTCCCTTTAAAAAGAAATAATTCTTTGTTAATTTGCAAAGAAACACATTTCTCTCCCAGATAATCCAACGAAAAAGTCGTAAATTTTGGCTGAAAAATTTCCTCTGTAAAAACAGATTTTGAAGATATAATGTGGTGTGCTCATGTTTATATTTTTATCAACAGAAAAGACATTCTAGGATTAACAGTACTATTTGAAGATTGATATTTCAATTCCCTTAGAAAATAGAGAAAAAATTTAATTCTTTTTGCTTTCCTCAGGTAATAATTCAGTTTAGTGGTAACTTTCTTGACAAGCTCTGTTTTTTCAATGATATACATAATTGTTCATTGCTCTGAAACAGCATACACTCAAAAATAAAAATATAGCATTTACTTAACCTAACAAAACAGACAAAAACCTAAACTCTTTGCTTGAACAAAGAGTCAAAGTGACATAACAAAATAACCAGCAAGTTTCACCCAGATACGCTTTTCTGAGGAGTAGTAGTTATTATAAATCCATTCTTTGTATCCTATCTCTGTCACTTAAATTACTAAAATCTCAGCAATACCATCTTTTAATACTTCCATGAATCACAAGACTAATAATCCAAATATCTTCTATGGCATAACTTTCATCAAATGTCAATTGTTTGATTTAAAGGATCACAGTCAAGAATTTTAAAAATAATTAATCATATCATTTCAATAACATATCTTTTATGAAATGAAAATATCCATGAAAATGTTTTTTGCTGAAATTCTAAGAGAATAAATATGTGAAATAATAATGATGTTTATCATCAATAGAGCATTTTATTTTTCAGACCCATGAAATTGTAAAACCAACCAGGATTTTATTTGATTTTTCACATCAGTCAATGTCCAGAATAGATAATTAGGCCTATCAATAGTGGCAACATTATGAACAATATCTAAGTATGTTTTACTTATGGAGCAATTTTTTGTCAAAATTTCTTCTGGGTGAGTTTCTTGTGTCTCTATTCCAGCCTCTGATAGCTATTTGCACAGATGTCTGCTGGTGTAGAGACAGAAAAATAGGCCCTGTTAAATGGAGATTTTAACCATATTTAGATACCTCGGATCTCCAAAACCCAGATATATTTGGAAAGATGAATCATTTTCTTCCGGCTCCAGTTCCAAGGTTTTTTTTAACAAAACTGATTTCGCATCGGCCATTTAAAACTGTGTGCACATCCCAAAGGCAAATGGTCACAAAGTAAAGTGATACTAACAAAATGAAAGTTACAGTGATTCCCAACCCAACACGAATTTACAGTCATCATAAAGGAAATTTAACAGTATGTTAGAAAAAACACATCTTCTGAAATGTGGAAAATCCCCTTTTCACAGGGTCTAGTTTTTCTGATAACTGTCAAAATAACTATCAGCAGCTGGAATAGAGGCAGAAGTTTTGGACTAACAACAGATATGCACCATCAACCACAATAAAATTTTAACTTTGAGCAATAATATGGAGTCAATTCTAAGGCTTTCATCAACTCAACAAATATAAACAATAGCAACGAGGTCTTTTAGTGCACATAAATCAGATTGCTCTACCAGTGTAGCACTTTATCAATTTAATTATGCAATCCATATGGAATTATGTCTTAAGACACGTGTAAACAATGATGAAATGTGTGCATGGTGACAAGTCAAGTGTCAGCTGTTTTCAGAAATCTGGTTGGTGATATGAATGAATGAAATTAGCTCACTATCATTGTTTTGATTGCGATAAGCTGTTATCTGAGTTTTTCCTCACCTGAGTGGTGCTGAACTGTCGTGTGATATATCTAAAGTAATGCATGATAAGAAAGAAATGTAGGCTACACCGTTATCTTCTCTCATGAACTGTTGCCAATAAGGGTCACGGTCATTGCAATAGTAAGGTCAAAGTTCATAGCAGGTGCGCGATCTCTGATTGGTTGAACCAGAAATATTGCATTTATTTTGTATACAAAACAGAAACTAACCTTGTCTAAAGGAACGCAAACTTTTAATTTTAGAGGTGTACTTAAAATAACCCTAACCCTAACCTTATTCAATAAGATTCTTTAGAATTAAGAGAGCTATTATAAAAATTAAAAGAATTAATGTCAAATAATTTTTCAGATTACAGTCTAAGGGACATAACCCTATTTAAGACATTGAACCTTGAACTCAACTTTCACTTTAGCAGTTTAAGTTTGTTGGAAATGGTTCCCTCTTGCAAGACTTGTTGTGCTTCTTTTGGTTTGATTGTAGCGGTTTTGTGCATAGTTATAACATTAAGAACACTTACTCTTTTTGTTAGAACAGACGACATTATTGATTGTAAAATATCAGATGATGATTTTATAAAAGTTGATGAGACAAGAAAGGAGAGATTTAGAAATGGCTTGAGAATTCCTACAATATCTCATGATATAGGCGATTATGATACTGATGCATTAATTGCACTACAGAAACTAATTCAGACAGGTAGCCTATTAGTTTGATGCATTGATTTATGATTAAATAAAATCAGGAGCTCTGTGGATTTAATTGAAATTAAACTCAGAACAGCTAATGCTGGGGATTTGAAACCCATAACATTTGATGACAGTAGCCTATCTGGAATTGGATGGCTCTACTTCTAATAATCAAACTATTATTATCTTCTGGTATGTTGGTCAGGCAGTTAGTCATCTGTCTTTTAGCATTACGGTACTTTAACTTAGTTTTAGTGGAAATGCAAGAACCACAGTCGTCGGAATGAAAATGGAATGGTGCAAATTGATGCTATCAGTGTCCCCAATACACATAAAAAGTTTAGAAAAGTTCTTTACAATCCCTTTAAGCATTATTGGATCTTATTACTAGGCTCTACTTAACTTTCAAATATTTTTCCATTGAAAGAATATAGGTTGGTCCATTCATCACCAATTGTAACACTGGAGATAGTAGGAAACTATAGTTTACTGTACACCGTTCAAGGTACAAATAGTAGTTTAACACCCTATCTACTAGCTAGTCATCTAGATGTGGTACCTGTTAAACTAGACTCTTGGGATTATCCCCCTTTTGGAGCAGACATCCATGATGGCTTTATTTATGCTAGAGGTACTATTGATGTTAAACTTGGAGTGTTTGTGAGTTTTTCTATTCAATATTTGAACCAATTTATTTTTTCAATTTGCAATAATTACGAATTTTCAGGCCTTATCTGCTACTATTACTGCACGTTTAAGAGTATGGTAATGTCCAACAACTGACTTTGTTGAAATACAGACTCTATTGAGTCCAACCTTACTCCTTATTGAATGCCGATCGTTTTGAAAGTTCATGACCTTGATTAGCTTTTATTGAAAACTGATCAATCTGTTTAATGCTAATGGCGATATCTCAGAAAAGTTCACCTTTAAGTCTTCATTAACTTATTAAAGAGCAGAAATGTTTGATGCAAAGCTTCATTTTAATTTCAAATCAACATTTTAGAAAAGTTTTTTAAAAAAATCTTATCATTACCTTGAATAGATATTTATGCAATTAGTAAACTCATTCATTAAATATTAGGTACATTAATTTCTGTTTTACTTTCAGGGAATCTTAGAATCCTTAGAATATTTATTATCTAAAGGATTTCAACCATCAAGAACATTTTACATTGCATTTGGGCATGATGAAGAGGTAAAATTTTCCCTTTATTTGTAATTCAAAATTCTATTTTGTTAAAGGGCAGGCTTGCTTTTCTATGGCAGTGTTCCAAGAAAAGATGATTCGTATATTTAACTTTCAAACACTGGTTAATTTTGGACACATGATTTTAAACCTCAAATTTCGCAGTGTTTCTGGGACTAAGATAGGCTACCATCGCAGATCGTCATGATGAATGTAGATTTTGGCTAATCAAAGAAAATATTGGATTGCAAAAGGGGTCATTTTGAATCGCAAACTGCAATGCCATACAGCTTAGATTGAACCCTTTAACAAGCACAACCAAAGATCTAGAATTGTGAAAATGTCAAATTTTGTGCACATAAGATATGACAAAAGATATTTAATAGAATACAAGACAAATCAGTACTGCTATAAGAAATCTAGTTTTCAAAACCAGTTTTGATGTATCTTGTAAAGTCACAATCAGTTGGTTAAACTGTAGGCTAGATAATATTTGCTAGCTGAATGTAGGCATTGAAATATTACAATTCGATCAACACAATGAGCAAAAAAAGACTGCCCAAAGTGACAACCAAAATTTTTTGAATAAGACTCTTGTCTCTGTACTTATCAAATTCCAAATTTTGTCTCATCCTCTTATAAAATATATATATAATATTTTAATGCTGTTAAGGTTTCTGGTTATGATGGAGCTAGATCTTTATCTAACAGATTAAAGGATAAAGGATTAACAAGATTAGAGTTTTTATTAGATGAAGGATTAAATGTAATTAAAGGATTAGTACCAGGAATTTCAAAACCAGTAGCATTGTAAGATTTTATATGTCTTGTTTATAACAGTTTATACTTTTATCTTATAATTGACCACATTCTTACCCCCAAAAGCACTGGACGTGTCCTTAGATGTAGCTTCTTCCCAAAAAATCAACCGAATGAATCATTTCAATGTGAGAAACTCAACCACACAAGATAAGGGTATGTAAAAAGAAAATCTATTTTTGTCATTGCTTTTTTCATAAAATCGTCTTTGGTTCTAATGATTTTTTTTGTAATAATTTAGAGTTGGAACAGCAGAGAAAGGTCAAGTGGTGTTAAGGTTAAAGGTTGAAGGTCAAACTGGACATTCATCTATGCCAACAAAAGAAAATGCCTTAACCATATTAGCCAGCGCAATATATAGGTAAGAACATTTGAAGGGAAGACCTCATCTAAAAAAGGCCTGATTGTAGTGTTTAAAAATAATTTATAGTTTGTGATAAAAATCTAAAAAGTGTGACGAGTAAACTTTCCACTGGTGGAAACAATGTATAAATGTGTACAGATAATCTGAGAAAGATCAATGCTAAGAGGCTTGACCGAGGACCATATGGTAGACAGGATCCTCATTAACCTTAATTGTAAGGAAATTCAAGTTCTGAATATGGTTGTTTCTTTTTCTACAGTCATGATGATTATGATATAAAAATGGCCAATTTATGTAAATTTTCTCCTATTGCAAGAGTAACATAATATGACATCTATTTTCAGATTAGAAAGAAATCCTCATCCCAGTATGTTTGGTTATGGACCAGAAAAGGACATGTTTGTTCATCTTTCATCACATGTAAATAATGAATATCTCTTGAGCAAATTAAAGACCTTTATTTCAAATGCAGAGCAAAACTTTGAGTATTTGAGTACAACACATGCCTGTTTAATTGATCTGACCTTCTGAAGACAGAGTATATTTTTAGGAGCAAAGACTATGTACCATGATCAGTATATATGAAGACCTTTAATGTAGAAAACTATATTGTAAAGATAACAATTATTGTTCTGCTATCAGTTTTTGTTCTATAAAAAAATAGTAGGCCTATGTTTTCCAATATTAGCTTGATTATTTGTTGTAGATGAGTTTTCCTATGAGAGTTATCTGTTCTAATTTATGGTTATTTGGACCCCTTGTTGCAAAGTAAGATATTTATATGATATGCTGATTTTTTATCTACTAACAAAATGGAGAAGTCTAAAGTATAAACTTTGAAATTTAATCTTTGTATAAAAGAGATTTGATCATAATTTTGCATTAAGATCTTTTTATAAATAATCATTATATAAATATACAAAAATAATTTTCCTAGTGTATATTTATATTCCTAATTTCAGGTTTTTAAGTACCAAGCCATCCACCAATGCTGTAGTTAGAACTGTTACATCAGTCACTATGTTTCATATACAAGAGATAAGCTGTAGCTATATATATTATATACCCAGCACAAACTATACAAGAGGTAAGCTGTAGCAATATATATTATACATCCAGCACAAACTATACAAGAGATAAGCTGTAGCTATATATATTATACATCCGGTACAAACTATACAAGAGGTAAGCTGTAGCAATATATATTATACATCCGGTACAAACTATACAAGAGGTAAGCTGTAGCAATATATGTTATACATCCAGCACAAACTATACAAGAGATAAGCTGCAGCTATATATATTATACCTCCGGCACAAACTATACAAGAGATAAGCTGTAGCTATATATATTATACATCCAGCACAAACTATACAAGAGGTAAGCTGCAGCTATATATATTATATATCCAGCACAAACTATACAAGAGGTAAGCTGTAGCAATATATATTATACATCCGGTACAATCTATACAAGAGATAAGCTGTAGCAATATATGTTATACATCCAGCACAAACTATACAAGAGGTAAGCTGCAGCTATATATATTATACATCCAGCACAAACTATACAAGAGATAAGCTGTAGCTATATATATTATACATCCAGCACAAACTATACAAGAGATAAGCTGTAGCAATATATATTATACATCCGGCACAAACTATACAAGAGATAAGCTGTAGCAATATATATTATACATCCAGCACAAACTATACAAGAGGTAAGCTGTAGCTATATATATTATACATCCAGCACAAACTATACAAGAGATAAGCTGTAGCTATATATATTATATATCCAGCACAAACTATACAAGAGATAAGCTGTAGCTATATATATTATACATCCAGCACAAACTATACAAGAGGTAAGCTGTAGCAATATATATTATACATTCAGTACAAACTATACAAGAGGTAAGCTGTAGCTATATATATTATACATCCAGCACAAACTATACAAGAGGTAAGCTGTAGCTATATATATTATATATCCAGCACAAACTATACAAGAGATAAGCTGTAGCTATATATATTATACATCCAACACAAACTATACAAGAGGTAAGCTGCAGCTATATATATTATACATCCGGTACAAACTATACAAGAGATAAGCTGTAGCAATATATATTATACATCCAGCACAAACTATACAAGAGGTAAGCTGCAGCTATATAATTATATTATATATCCAGCACAAACTATACAAGAGGTAAGCTGTAGCAATATATATTATACATCTAGCACAAACTATACAAGAGGTAAGCTGCAGCTATATATATTATACATCCGGTACAAACTATACAAGAGGTAAGCTGCAGCTATATATATTATATATCCAGCACAAACTATACAAGAGATAAGCTGTAGCTATATATATTATACATCCAGCACAAACTATACAAGAGATAAGCTGTAGCTATATATATCCAGCACAGACTATACAAGAGATAAGCTGTAGCAATATATATTATACATCCAGTACAAACTTTACAAGAGGTAAGCTGCAGCTATATATATTATACCTCCAGCACAAACTATACAAGAGATAAGCTGTAGCTATATATATTATACATCCAGCACAAACTATACAAGAGGTAAGCTGCAGCTATATATATTATATATCCAGCACAAACTATACAAGAGGTAAGCTGTAGCAATATATATTATACATCCGGTACAAACTATACAAGAGATAAGCTGTAGCAATATATGTTATACATCCAGCACAAACTATACAAGAGGTAAGCTGCAGTTATAGATATTATACATCCAGCACAAACTATACAAGAGATAAGCTGTAGCAATATATGTTATACATCCAGCACAAACTATACAAGAGGTAAGCTGCAGTTATAGATATTATACATCCAGCACAAACTATACAAGAGGTAAGCTGCAGCTATATATATTATATATCCAGCACAAACTATACAAGAGATAAGCTGTAGCTATATATATTATACATCCAGCACAAACTATACAAGAGATAAGCTGTAGCTATATATATTATATATCCAGCACCGACTATACAAGAGATAAGCTGTAGCTATATATATTATATATCCAGCACAAACTATACAATAGATAAGCTGTAGCTATATATATTATACATCCAGCACAAACTATACAAGAGGTAAGCTGCAGCTATATATATTATATATTCAGCACAAACTATACAAGAGATAAGCTGCAGCTATATATATTATACCCCCAGCACAAACTATACAAGAGATAAGCTGTAGCTATATATATCCAGCACAGACTATACAAGAGATAAGCTGTAGCTATATATATCCAGCACAGACTATACAAGAGATAAGCTGTAGCAATATATATTATACATCCAGCACAAACTATACAAGAGGTAAGCTGTAGCTATATATATTATACATCCGGTACAAACTATACAAGAGATAAGCTGTAGCTATATATATTATATACCCAGCACAAACTATACAAGAGGTAAGCTGTAGCAATATATATTATACATCCAGCACAAACTATACAAGAGATAAGCTGTAGCTATATATATTATACATCCGGTACAAACTATACAAGAGGTAAGCTGTAGCAATATATATTATACATCCGGTACAAACTATACAAGAGGTAAGCTGTAGCAATATATGTTATACATCCAGCACAAACTATACAAGAGATAAGCTGCAGCTATATATATTATACCTCCAGCACAAACTATACAAGAGATAAGCTGTAGCTATATATATTATACATCCAGCACAAACTATACAAGAGGTAAGCTGCAGCTATATATATTATATATCCAGCACAACTATACAAGAGGTAAGCTGTAGCAATATATATTATACATCCGGCACACACTATACAAGAGATAAGCTGTAGCAATATATGTTATACATCCAGCACACACTATACAAGAGGTAAGCTGCAGCTATAGATATTATACATCCAGCACACACTATACAAGAGATAAGCTGTAGCAATATATGTTATACATCCAGCACACACTATACAAGAGGTAAGCTGCAGCTATATATATTATACATCCAGCACACACTATACAAGAGGTAAGCTGCAGCTATATATATTATATATCCAGCACACACTATACAAGAGATAAGCTGTAGCTATATATATTATACATCCAG